ACAGCTGCAGAAAGAAAAGCTCTGCAGAGAGTGGTGGAGGCTGCACAGAAGATGTTGGAGTCAGTCTCCCCACCATCACAGACATCTACACCTCCAGATGCAGGAAGAGGGCCACCTGCATCATGAAGGACCACACTCACCCAGCACACACACTTTTTGCCCCACTCCCCTCAGGAAGGAGGTTGAGGAGCATTAAGTGTAGAACCACTAGACTGAGGAACAGCTTCTACCCTGAGGCTGTTAGACTCAAGAATCTCTAACCAGGAGAATCACTGTGAAAAATCACATCATGTTGCTGCTGATCTGTTTCATTTTGCTGCTGATCTGATTCAATGTTGCTGCTGATCTGTGTCACATTGCTGCTGATCTGTTTCACATAGCTGCTGATCTGTTTCATGTTGCTGCTGATCTGTTTCAGTGTTGCTGCTGATCTGTTTGACGTTGCTGCTGATCTGTTTAAATGTTGCTGCTGATCTGTTTGATGTTGCTGCTGATCTTTTTCAATGTTGCTGCTGATCTGTTTCAGTGTTGCTGCTGATCTGATTCATGTTGCTGCTGATCTGATTCAATGTTGCTACTGATCTGTGTCACATTGCTGCTGATCTGTTTAAATGTTGCTGCTGATCTGTTTCACATTGCTGCTGATCTGTTTCAGTGTTGCTGCTGATCTGTTTTATGTTGCTGCTGATCTGTTTCATGTTGCTGCTGGTCTGTTTTAATGTTGATGCTGATCTGTTTCATGTTGCTGCTGATCTGTTTTATGTTGCTGCTGATCTCTGTCAATGTTGCTGTTGATCTGTTTCAGTGTTCCTGCTGATCTGTTGTATGTTGCTGCTGATCTGTTTCATGTTGCTGTTGATCTGTTTCAATGTTGCTGCTGATCTTTTTCATGTTGATGTGTTCATGTTCATCTGCTCACACAGACTCATGTTCGTGCTGCTGTTCAGTGTAATGTTTTTATGCTATGAGTGCTCTGTGTATCTTTAGTTGATGTTTTTCTTAGTTCATATCTTTGATCTTATCACTGTTTTACTTTTACATTTTTATTGTTGGATGTAACTGGACCCTGTGGACACAGTTTTGTTTCACCACATGTGATGGAATGACAAGTAAAGATCCTTGAATGTTGTCAGACTAGCTGAGGGGTCGGCAACCCGCGGCTCCGGAGCCGCATGTGGCTCTTCCATCCCCCTGCTGCAGCTCCCCGTGACTTTGGAAAATAAGAAATTAATATTTAATTTAAATGTATTGTTATTTTAGTTAGTTCATTTTTAAATGTAATTCTAAATGTGAAGATGTTCTTGTTACAGTAAAATAAATGTTTTTAATTTTTGTTTAACAAAATATGCGTTACAATGTGCAACAACGCATATTCTGACCTCCTGCTACTTAACAGAGGTGCTGTTCGGAGGGGAGGTGCTGTCCAGAGAGGAGGTGCTGTCCAGAGGGGAGGTGCTGATCAGAGAGGAGGTGCTGTCCAGAGAGGAGGTGCTGTCCAGAGGGGAGGTGCTGTCCAGAGGGGAGATGCTGATCAGAGAGGAGGTGCTGTCCAGAGGGGAGGTGCTGATCAGAGAGGAGGTGCTGTCCAGAGTGGAGGTGCTGAAATACTTTGCTGTGTCTGGAAGAAGTGAAAACTTTTTGTGAGCTCTCAAACCGCTCACCTTTCCTGAGCTGGAACAGCCATGTGGCTGGGAAAGCTGCACCTCCTCCTGAACACACCTCTTCATGTGAGAGGAGGCGCAGCGCTGTACATGTTGGAGGAGGTTCATTCGAGAGCAAACTGACAGTGTTATCCAGAGGTTTACAGTGAAGTACACTTCACCTCTTTGAGAGTTCAAACAAGCTCACTATGATAAACTGTGTCTGCAGTCACCACAATGAAACATCGTTTGGGAGACGACCCTGTGAGTTCAGAGAGGAAACTTTAAAAAGCACAATGTCCTGAGCAGAGATCCATCCCTATTGAATATTATATATATGTATATTTGACTTTGTTAAGTGAAATAATCCTTTTTTTAAATTCAGGTTCACAGCTGACTACACGAGAACTAGAACCACACCGTTACTTAAAGTGAAGATTAAACATCAAATTCAAGTTAAAGCCACTGGAGAGCGGTTTAACTTTTCTTTGGAGTTCTGACTGGACTTACAGCAGAGATCTGAACCCTCAAACCAGAACAATAAATTCACCATCTTTTATGAACAGTGCTGAATCTGGTCTCGCCCAGCTGGACTACAGTCTTTAGAGCTGCGCAGATAGACCACATGGTTTTCTACATCGCACAAGAGCTTTGGCAGCCATGTTGGTCTCACCTGTTTCTGCAGCGTTTTCTGTGTGTGTTAGGGTCGGTAAGTGCGTTAGGGTCGATAAGTGCATCAGAGTCGGTAAGTGAGTTAGGGTCGATAAGTGCGTTAGGGACGATAAGTGCATCAGGGTCGATAAGTGCGTCAGGGACGATAAGTGCGTCAGGGTCGATAAGTGCGTTAGGGACGATAAGTGCGTCAGGGTCGATAAGTGCGTCAGGGCCGGTAAGTGCGTCAGGGTCGGTAAGTGCGTCAGGGTCGATAAGTGCGTCAGGGTCGATAAGTGCGTCAGGGTCGGTAAGTGCGTCAGGGTCGGTAAGTGCGTCAGGGTCGATAAGTGCGTCA